CTCAGTGAACACAACTACAGCTATGGGACTGCAGTTATCATATATACCTGCCTCGGTGCCCATCTCGACTGGCTTGACCTTAAAGCATTTCAGGCTGCTTAATCACATTCATTTCCACATTTATAAGTCTGTCCTATAATGAAAAAAAAAAGGTTATCGTTGTACTAGCTTTTCATTTCCATCTAAACAGAAGCTCTGAAACTAAAGACTACTAAATGAAATGAAAAAGTAGATACAGACTTTAAGAGAAGTAGAGAAGGAATCTCTGATCTCAGGGATACAGATCACTGGAAGTTATCTCCTCCACAAAGAATAAGGAAAAAGGAATAAGCATATGGAGCTGATGGAACAGAGTCAAACATTCTAATATGTGCAATATGGGAATCCACATGTAAAATAAATAAATGGGGAGATAAATTCTTATTTAAAGAAATAACGACTGAAAATTCCCAAATCCTGTGAAGATTATGGGAAACAAATCAAGATTACAGTACCATACACTAGCAACAAAGTTTGAAAAGTTTAAGACAGTATGTTTAAAGCAATATTCTAATCCATACAATTGAAGGCTGCCTTATTAACAATTTGTCAAAGGAAATTCAAGCAGTAAAAAATACAGTATATTCAAGCTGTATGACACACACAAAAAAAAATGCTGTCAATCAAGAATAACAAGTCATTAGTTCCATTTTTCCTAATGGAAATTCTAAACTCTCAGTAATGTTCAAATGTTGACAATTTAGGGATTTATGAAAATAGAGCTATGGATAATAAGCTCTTAAGTTTCTACTTTCCTACATTGTTATGTTTGTGAGATTCATTGATGTATTTAGTTACACTAATAGTTTGTAATACATGCATTGTTATTGGTATTTCACTGCATGCTTATTCCTCATTCATTCATTCTGCTGCTGATTGGTACATAGGCTGTTTCCACTTTGAAGCTATCACCCATGTTACAATGAATGTCATTGTATATCTGGTTTAGTACACATTTGTATGTATTTGGAGATTACAGGTGGATCAGAGCGATATACATGCTCAGAGTCAGTTCTTCCACTTGTGCAATGCTTTTACATTGCAAAACTCTAAACTTACATGGTCTGTCCACTTCATTTCCTATTGTATTCGATTCAGTTGATGATGTCAGCCATTTTACTCAGTCTTCCAGGACGACTGTTCATACATATAGGTGACGCTGAACATTTATTTTTTAACAAGCTCTTATCCATGTAATTCCTACTGTCACCTTTGTCATCAAAAATTTTGGTCTGTGCTTTGGTCTGTCTCTAAACATGCACATCTGTTCCAATGAACATCCTCGCTGGACTTACCCTGGCAGAGACATCCATAGAGTGAAAACTCATTCTGATGCTGCCTCCAGATTCCTGTAACTACAGTACTTGGTTTTCACATAGAAAACTTAGAATTGGCTTCTAAATTTCCATTTCTAAAGCATGACAATGTTCTTTTATGTTCACCCAATTAAATCAGTATACTATTTTATGAAGAACTGACATAATTATAATACTTAAATGTTCAATCCTTCACATTTTAGGGCTTTTCATTTTCATAGGTTTTCTTCAATTTTATTGAATAATATTCCAAATATATAAATGAAGAAATAGCAAACATTCTTAGAGATTTTTTTTCTCTGTATTTAATCCACTGATGATCATGGCACCATATGTTTCCAAAAACATCACCTCTGAATATGTAGGGAATTGGCAGGACATTTTTGCTCTAAATCATAAAATTTGTTCCCTAGCACCCAAAAAATTTTGTCTATCTTTTGAAGAAAAAAATAACTTTGATTCCATCCTTGGAAATCACCAGTTTTAATGCTTCTGGTGTTGGAGAAGTTCAAATCTGAAATCTCTTTGAAGCTAAAAGCAGACTCTTAGCTGTGAGCACTCTTAAAAATTAAAAAGAAAATTAACTACTGCCAACACATAATGATACAAGATAAACATTTCCAGTACAAAAGGAAGAATAAGGGAATACAAAGGATACAGACCAAAGCAAGACTGAGATTTACCAAGGTGAACATTAAGTCTTTTACTTACACAGGCCAAGTTATGCTACATGTGAGCTCCAAAAGGGTCTCAAAAGGACGCACCCTTACAACATTGCCTCCTGCAGTCCTCATGCCCTCTTGCTTGGGATGGCTTTGTTCACTGCCTCTGGATTCCCTCACTAGACATTTCATGCTTGACTTCTCTAAATTTCTGGGATGCCCACTGCATTTTTGGCATCACTATCACAGTTGTATGCTCTCAGGAGCAGATATCCGGTCTCCCAGGCCTTCTTCTGATATTGAGGTAAAACTTTTTCTGAACCCACAACTTTTGCATCCACTTTCTTGAAAAGCCAGCATCATATGAATGATATCAAAGTCAGCCACCAGCTCAAACAGTACCCATACCCTCTGGGGTGACTGAGAACTGTGAACTGAGAATTGATAACTGTGACTGAGAATTGAAAAGTTTATTTTTTTATTCATTTCCCCAATATTCCTCATTATGAATTGAATCCCTTCAATAGATGAAGCATAATTTGTAAGTACAGGTAGTTTCTATCTTTCAAAGAACACATACATTCTAACAGATATGTCAATTATACTGCCATCATGTTCACAGCATTTCCTGATTGTCCTTTAATATTAGTAGAGCCCAAAGTAAAGTCCTTGGTTCTATTCTTGAAACTTGCAGTTTGTAACTTTTTTTCATTGTCAAATATAAATATTTATCAATTTTGTTAATCTCAACGTGGGCTGTTATTTTTATTGTATTTCTTCTACTGATTTATTAGAGAAATATATACATAGTCTGAATCAAATGTTATAAAGGATAATTTTTATGCACTTTGTGGCTCCCTTTGGGGAAGATGCAGAAGCGCAAAGGAGACCAAGCAGGGTTGGAAGAGGTAACACCTGAAACCTCCATGATAGTCAATATGTACACAAAGGTCTCAGGATTCTATTCTTTCCTCATTGTTAAAGCAAATAGAAAAAGAGAAAAAAACAGATAGAAAAAAACTTGGCCTCACATTTGGAAGATACAGAAACATGGACATGAACTTTGAATGAAAAGAAAAAACAAGCAATAAATTTGTAATTGAACACTTACTTTGAAAACACACACAAAGAAAAACTCAAAATCAAATCAGCAATTATAATTACATGATAATACTTTGGTTTCCAAAACAGCTTCAGTAAGCTTTTTATGAGCTCAAGCAAATAGCAGTGGTGAAACACTTAGAATTATACTGATGATAAAAACCATTTCTGACATATAGATGAATAATAACAATCTTGATGGTTTAAAGCAATTTAAGTTGATATTACTGAGAAAAACTTCTTTAAACTTCAAAATTGTTCTCTGAACAAAACACTACTGAATCTAGAAAACACACTGAGAAATAATAATGAATTCTTAAGTATGAAAATCAAAAAACCATAAAACATATACATGACAGACACACACCAGGTTAGGAACTTCTTGTTTGATTCCATTACTCCAACAAGCTTATAAACACAAAATAGAGCTGGGTAAGGTGAAGCATCTGTGAGACTGAGCCTCAGTGAGCTGCTCCCTGGGAGGTTTTTGTTCAGCGCTGAAACACTGTGAAGGAAGCTCTTTATTCTGCTGACAGTAATAGTTTGCAGCATCCTCAAACTCCACATGGTCAGTGGTGAGAGTGAAGTCTGTCCCAGACCCCACTGCCTCTAAACTGGTCAGCCGCCCTAGACTGTAGATAGAAACCTACGGAGATCAAGAGTTTGGGAGGCTGCCCTGGCTTAAATTGATACCAGTGCATAGCACTGGCAAAACCAACAATATTAACATTCCTACTGGCCCTGCAGGAAATGATGACCCTCTGCCCTGGAAACACATTCAGGGAGGGTGGAGACTGAGTCAGTATTATATCTCACAGAGGAGCCTGGAATAACAAACGTACACAACAAACACAGACTCATTAGATTGGTAGCACGGGTGACTTTCTCCAGTGTAAGTGTATTCAATGTTTGCCTATGCCCTCACTTGGAACCAAGAGCAGCAGCAACTACAGCAAGGGAGCCTTTGACTCCATCTGTGAGAATTGAGCTATACCTTACAGTGCCGTGAAAGCTGCCTTAAAAGTTGCTTTGCACAAGCTCAAATGTTGCCTAATGATGCAATGCGCAAATTAGTTCAGGGAAGCTTTGCTTGTTCTTAAATTGGAGACCTGCTCTCATTTGATCTTGCTGGAGTTGCAGGCATCAAAGAAAAATCTTCCAAGTTATCACCATGCAAGATTATTTTTTCTTTTGCTAGTTTTTTACAAAATGTTTATTGAAAAGCAGTTATATTTATACTTAATGGTAATAAACAAAACCAAAATGCATTGTTTACAAAAGTATTCAAATGTAAAATGGTGATAAATCTTGTTAAAGAGCAATATGAAATTATAAATTTCAGAAACATTTTAATGTGAAACACTTGCAGATAACAATTTTCTATGAAAATAAAAAAACTCAAAATGATTAAACAATTTTGAAACAGATGAAAAAACTTTAGAAAGCTAATGTAACTTTATTTCCAAAATTAGTATCCATGTACAATATTTACTCTTCCATCTTCTCACACTAGGGAGGCAATCTGATGCTTATATAAATCTGATTTATTTAACTTGTAAGTGTGGAATCAAGTTGCATCCCTTGACCTATAAAAGTCTCCAGTTTACACTTCTTATGGCTGAATGGTGCTGCATTATATTTAAACACACACACACACACACACACACACACACACACACACACACACACACACTTTTACCCACTCTTCGGTTGATGGGCAACTGTGTTGGTTCCAAGATGTTTCTATATTTCTTCTATCTTCTAGAAAATATAAAACTGCATTTTGTGTTTAGGTCTATGATAAATTTTCAGTTTATTTTTCTGTGATGCTGTGTTGGTTACTTTATTCTTATTGCTAAGACAAAATATCTGATGGCCAAACTGAAGGAAAGAAAGGTTTATTTAGCTTGCAATATGTTGAGGATTCAGTCCGTATTCAGCTGGCTCCAAGGCAGGGCAGAGGGGAAAACATTTATGATGGCTAGGGCATTTACCAAAAGCAAAAAGTGTAAAAGAGGAGAGGATGCTTGTTTTCCTTCCTTACATTGTAAGCAAGCTATGCCCCTTCTCAAGATGTTGCAGTCATACCCTGTCTCTTGTTGCACAAGCTGGGGATATTTACAAAGCCAAACTCTAGCTCCCTGCTGAATCACTTAGTTAAACTTCTGACCTCCTCACCTTGACAAAATAGATGATGTGCTAGAGAAGTAAAGCATGCCCTTAACACCCAGGACAGAGGGATGCTGAATACCTTAATCATCTAGATTTCTCAATTTAGCACAATGTCTCAACCATAACAATCCACCCCTGGTCAACTTGGTAACCAGACACATTTGTTTAAGCCAGTTTTCAGATGCAAAGACATCTTAATTCTTATTATTTCAAAACATGGTACATTATAACATAGCTTTAAAAATCCTTAGCAGCCAGCATTAAGTCTATCAACATTATATAAATATAGGTCAAACATTCTGTCCTGGCCCTCAAAGGCTAATGTTCATTATATAAAAGGAATTTAGTCCTACATAACAGTTATCAAATTTCAGCATTGCTGAAAACTCCAAGTCCCATGTCTCCTCCATGAAGTTAGGCAAACGTGTAGACGCTCAATTCCCATTTAAAGTGAACACATTTATGAGATTAGTTAGCACCCTGATTCCAAGGAGGCACAAAGATCTCCATCACTAAACATAGAATGTGTTAATTAATATGACATGTGAGGATTAACAGGTATATGCTATTAAATACAAAACTATATTTATCATTAGTGGAAGCACGTTTTCTTAATGTACAAGTTTGAAGAGTAGATAGGCATAGTCAGAGAACAATATCACTATTTGACAAACACCAGACAAAATGAAATGGTGCTCATGATAGAGATGGAGGAAAAGACCACAAGCCAGGGAGTGAAAAGAACTCAAGATACAAGAAAGCTAAAAAATGGATTCCATTTTACAGTGCACAAATGAAAAGTCGCCTGACACCATGTTCATTTTAGTTCTTGAGTCTAGTGCTTGATTTTGTCCTACACAAGTATAAACTAATGAATTTCTCATTTCAAGGCTATGATTTTGTAAATTATTATGAAAGATGCAAGACTAATACAAATATCTTCTCTACATTTTCCTATAGCAAAGCATCTATGAAATCAGGAGCCCCTGTAGTTTCCACTAAAACCTGCAGTCTTCCTCATGCATCAGTGAAGACACATTCTTTCAGGCAGCTGGAGGATGTGTTCAAGCCCTCAGCCATGTGGAGAGCAAGCAGCTGGGAAGATCCTGAGAGGGAGTTTATGTTTGAGGCTGAATCACTGTGAGAGGAGCATTAAGAGCCTGCTTACAGTAGTAACCTACCACATCTTCAACTTGCATGCTGCTGATGGTGAGAGTGAAATCCATCACAGACCCACTGCCCCTGAGCCAGTCAGGGATCTCAGATGCCCAGTTGGATGTCCCATAGATGAGCAGCTTGGGAGATTGTCCTGGTTTCTGCTGGTATCATGTAAATAGTTTCACATTGAAACCACTGTGTAGAAGATTCTGGTTGGACTTGCAATGGATGGTGGTGCTCTCTCCAGCTGATACTGCCTGGGAGCCTGGAGACTGGGTCATCACAGTGTCATCACAGACACCTGCAATCAGGAATACACAGTGATTGTACACACACACACACACACACACACACACACACACTAACTTTGTCCTATAAAAATGAAATAAACTCTTTAAAATGCTGACATTAATGCTATTGTAAATTAATATATAGTTGGGTCAAATTGCTTAACATTCATTTTAAAATTATAATTTTAAAAGATACTACTCTAAGTGGTTTTGACTCCAATTTCTCACCAGAGACGCAAAGCAGCAGGCACATGAAGACCTGGATCTTTGACCTCATCTTGCTCTCCCTGACTCCCTGATAGAGCTCAGATTTCCTTGCCAAGGCCTTGTTTATCATGCCTGACTGGCCCAGGAGGAGTATATGAAAATTGATCAGTAATTATGGAAGTAAATTGTATTGGCAACTATATTATGAAAGGAACTGATTATATCAAGAACCTAAAATACCTACAGAGAAAGTGAACTTGGGTGACTGCAAAACTCCATAGTTAATTCAGAAACTCTGAGATCATTTTAGAAGTTCTAAAATTTCAAACCAGTTGGTGGTCTAAGAAAAGACTTTAGTCTCAAATAAACAAAAACAGATTCAAGTGGATTATGCATATACAGAAATAATAGGCTGGCTACTTTATATCAACACAATGTAATATGTTAGAAAAAGCAATAATATAAAAACAAATCAAAGAAAGAAGTAAAAAGAGGGTGCAACAAAGGAAAGACCAAAAGAAATCTTTTACTTCTAGATGAATAAGTACTTTTTATGACCAACATAATGTCTGCTGTCCAAACTTACATTTATCCTGATGCTGAAGAACACAGGACATGGCTGAGCTCCAGAGTTTCTCTATGAATGAGCCACAGAATCAGGAGATTTAAGCTGGTGGCAGGAAGAACTACATGTAAATGAGAATCAAGGACACAGAAATGACTCTGCTTTCCGCAGCTAACTGAGTAGAGGGACCCATGTAAATTGGAAAATGGAGAAAGAGAGAAAATAAAATTTTATTGGAAAATAAAGTTTGAAAAGCAACACTGCCAAAGTATTTACTCCAAAAACACCTGCACTAGAGGACAGAGAAATCAACAACCACTAGATTACTTTTCAATGATATTTTTGACAATTAGTTATCCAGATTAAACCTTCTAAAGGGGGACACTAATATTCTAATTCCCTAAGCAGTCTACAAATAAGTAAGTACAGTAAATAAACTACAAATTGAGATTCATGGCATTCCAAAGCAAAAAGATGATTTTAGTATAATTGAAAAATAATACAAATTATGGAACAAAGACTTCATTCTAGGTGACAAATTGTAAATCATGACAATTTCAGAAAAAATATTTATAAATAAATTGGAATTCCTACTAAATTATATCACTACAGAAGCATTCAGAACATAGAAGACCAGAAAAAATCATAAAAGTTAACCAATATGACACAACTAAAAGCTCAGCTAATCTCAAACCAAATAAATTAATTTAACTGATCTTTAACTTTTAACAACAAGACAGAAATACCTTTGACCATCAAATATGTTTTAATTTTGCCACTGAATCGATTTGGTCTCACTTTGTATTTTTCTTAATTTTTAAATATATAAAACGCTATAATAAATTGTTATAAGCCAATTCAAAACTTGCATAAGAGTACTAGGATTCCATGATATGAGATAGTGTTATAGTACAGGTTGAGGATGTTCCTACTTTACAAAGAAAAGAAAATAAAGAATGTGTGAAACTGTTGACATTTACCCCTAACAAGTGGACCTATCCTCTACATTTTTGTTTCAATTCATAATTTGACTTGTTTCTGCTTTGAGGAGCTCATATTTATTTTCTTTTATTTCACTTATTAGTGCTTGTTCAAGTTAAGCAGATGGAGAATAGGGTCTTCAAAATATAGGAAAAGCAGCCATATAAACATACCAGCCTTTCTCCAGACAAAGCAGACTTTTCAATCTGCCAAGTCGTTTCAACACAACTGTTTCATGCAGTCAATTCACTAGACCCCGGAAAGGACTTTACCTAACACTTATTACTAACATTCGCAGTGTTTATAGTACACATACATAAATAAAAAGTTTCATAATCTTTAATTTCTAATAAAAATAGATCAGAATACAAGTTTCTCATTTTCCCACAAGGCACAGTATGCTAGTGACCATAATACACAACTCGTATGTTAGACTCCTTGAGTTATAATAAAAATACTACAGACTTATTGCCTGAAAATAGTACAGGATGAACTTCTCAAAGTATGAGAGGCATGAAGTCTGGAATGAAAGTTGCTTAGCAGTTCTGACCCAGCACACTTTCCTACAGTGAGCAACTTGGAAGAGGCCTAGGAGAAAGTTAGGCAGAGGTCCAGATTACCCTGAGACATTCAAAGACTGGGCTCTTTGTGGCTCTTCTTATGTATGAAGTTGGCCTTTTACTCTGTGGAAAAGTTGATGTCGGTGGCCCAGTATAGATGGCAAAAGGACAACATTTGAGAAGTAGTTTTCTTTGTTAATTCAGCAAAACATGAAATAGAAATCATCTCTTGTTCATTCTGTGCAGTATCAAAGGAGTTCTTGTCTTAAGAAATTTCTGATTAATCTGACATGTAAAGACAGAAATAAGTACAATAATGCAACATTTTAAATAGCACTTACCGGAACGTTTTTATTTACTATGTGAATTACATATCTTTCTAGATAAAAAGGCATATTTTTCTACTTCTCAGTTCTTTTGACTTGAGTGTAAATATGGAGTCTAATCACTACACTTGTGGAAAACATTCTAACACTTGTTTCTAACATTCTTATAGTTCCCTTGGTAACTTTAGATGTCATAAACACTTCACTAAATCCACTCCATCATGTTAATGGCAGAAATCTCTGGTGATCAGTACTTGTGAAGTAGGTCTTGTTTCTTTCTCTCATTAGTAGGGAGGGAGCTGAGTAGAGTGTGTTTTATCTTCCCAGACACTGATCTGGATGCAAGCATGTGTATCCTGGGATATCTTGGGAAGGAGGGTCACATGCACCTGGACCCTACAAGGTACAGCCCTTCAGACTGGCATCCAGATAGCATGAACTCTATGCTTTTTTGTTGTCTTTATAGTACAGAATATATCTTATATTACTAATATCACGTAAGAGGCTTGAAAACGTGACCTTAACTCCTCCAATGTCACTCAGTCAGAGAAATTCTATAGTGCACCCTAAGAAAAATCATTCCCTGCAAACCCCAATCCAAACTCAGGATGAAGCAGCTGGTACAGCAAGGCTCCCTGACCCATGGCATGGGCATATTTTTGCATAAAGCTGATGCTCCAAGAGAGGGAAGTTATAATATTGGTGACAGTAATAGTCACCCACACCTTCTGCTTACAGGTTGTTTTTTGTAAGAGTGTAGTCTGACACACATCCCCTGCCACTGACCTTATCAGAGATCTGAGATGCCCAATTAGATGCCCAGAAGATGAGCATACTGGGAGCCTGCTCTAGTTTCTAGTGATACCAAGATAAGTAGTTCTTGCTGCCCTTGCTACAAAAAACACTTTCTTTGTACCTACAATTGATGGTCATGGTCTTTTTCCCAGCCTCAATTAGACAGTCTGGTGTCTAGAATACCATGATGTCTCCATAGGCCGCAGAAATACAGAAGGATCATATGCAAGCACAACACACACACACACACACACACACACACAAGCAAATGCAAACAAATTATCATACACTCTTTACAATCTGTCTTTAAAACACATTTTAAAATGTCGTTAATATGGGCACATATTTAGGCCCTTATTGGGAGTAGTTTTTTTTTTCTTTGAAATATTAGGAATATTATTTCAGTTATACAGATGTTATGTTAAAGAGGTTTTAGTATTTAATTGCTCACCAGACACTCAAAGGAACAGGGCTAGCAGGACCTCATCTAGGACACTAGATGAGCTCTGCTGCCTAAGGCAGTTCCTTTCTCACTGCAAAGCTCTTATTTATCAAATCTGAGCAGGTGGGCTGGGCTTGCAGGAGTTCGTGTAAAATGAGAAAAGCAAAGAAAATTGTATAGACAGTAGACTACTAAACTATCTGATGTGTATTAAAAGACAAAATATTGCTATCACATGAATTGTGGTTGTGAAACTCGAAAACACACTGCACTCCACTTATTAGCTTTATGGTCAGCTTAGAAACTCAGTAATAAAGGACAATGGACATATTAAAGAAGAATGTCTATTCTGAATTCAAAAGTAATTTGAAATGGATACATATCCAAAAAAGGTATCCTAGTACCCTCAGATTAATAATTCTGGTGAAATAAAGCCACATAAACAAAAACAGAGAAAGCACTTAGTGAGAAAGAAAGACAGATGGATGGAAAGAAACCAAGCAGATAAGGAAAGTAAGAAAAGAAAGTAAGAAAGGAAAAAGAAAAAGAAACTAGAAAAAGACTAGAAAGGAAATAGGCAAAGAAACATAAAGAAAGACAGAATGAAAGAAGGAAATAGGGAAATAAAGAAAAAAAGGAAAGAAGGAAGAAATAAGGAGAGAAAGGAAGAGAACAGGGGAGGGAGAGAGGAAAGTAATGAGGGAGGGAGGGCCTGACACTTGAGGAGAAGGAAGAAAATCATCAAGAAAATAATGTAAAATAAGTTTCCAACTGAAATTCTGTTCTCAAAAAATGAGACACCTAAGGTAATAAGCAATAATTTTAGACATACAAGAGATGAAAGAACATATCATAAATATGTTTACACAACCAGAGATCATCATAAATTCACCAGAAAAAAAGAAAGATGACAAAGATTTGAAAAAGAAAAGATCATAAAGATTTGAAAACACCAAGAATGGTAACCAAGGAGAAATGTCTAATTTTTTATTATTTGAATCTTTTGCTGGCTGGATGACTAGGTCATCAAAAATTGTAACAATATATTATGCAGTTTATGACACATAGACACAAAATGTATGAAGACAGCAAAATCTAAAGACCACCTACCAACTGCAGCAACATACTGAGAAGAATGCTATTGGGGACATTTTATATAAGGGAAGCAGATGGCACCTTAGACAGAGTCCCAGCTGTCCATTGGGAAGGTCGCCATCCTTTGCTGTTTCCTGGTATCCCCTCAGCTAAGTAGCACTAACACTTTCCTATGCAACAAGGTCATCAATCAGGATTAAGAAATACATGTGTGACTTAATAGGCTAGAACATGAAACACTTTGTTGAATTTTGTTTTACTTCTAAGCTTGTATTGTATATTTTTGCTATGTTTATTAATTTACACTCGCTGTACTTAGCTATGTATACTGTGGGGAGTTGTCACGAGCATATAACACATCTTAATTATTTTTTACTGTCTCCGGTACTCCTTTCTCTGAACTTCCCTCTATGACTAGTTTCCATGCCAATTTACAGAGGATTTATCTCTTTATTTTGCAACATCTTTCTTTTTATCTTTATTTTATTTATATTTTACATTTCATATATATGAGAATAAATGTGATACCTATGATTGTGTGTCTAATTTATTTCACCTAACAAATGGTCTCAAGCTATATTCATTTTCCTACAAATGACTCAGGTTTTCATGGTTCTGTAGCACTCCACTGTGTATAAATATCATGTTTTTCTATCTATTCATCTGTTTAACATATGAGCTGCTTCCATATTTAGCGCTTATGATTTGTGCCACTATAAACATGTATATGCAAGGATCACTGTATTATGATATTTTAAAAATTCTTGGTAGAGATAACGAGAACAGGAAAAGCAGAATCAAGCAGAATTTCTAGTTTTTTATTTTTGCAGAATTTCCATATAGAGCTCCATAGTGGTTGTACTAGTTAACATTTCCATTAACAAAGTAGTTAAGTTCTTTTTCCCCACAGGCTCACCAAATAGTCGATATTATTTGATTCCTTCATGACAGCCATTTTTCTGGAATAAAATGGAATCACACTGTTGTTTTAATTTGCATTTTTTCAGATCCAAGCACATTTCTTTATATATTTATTGCAAATTTGTTCTTCTGAGAATTTGTGTTACAACTGCCCACTATTCCTTGTCTATTGTATTTGGAATGTCTGTTTTACAAGTATCTTTATATATGTTTGCTATTCGTCTTCTGTTGTTAAATAGGTGGCAAAGATGTTTTTATCATTCCTGTTATTTTTTGTTATTTTCTTAAATGTACAGAAGTGTTTTAATTTGATATAAGTTGACTTATTGATTCTTGATGTTATTTAAGGTACAATTGAGGTTTTGTTTAAAAAAATCTTCATTCTTATGTCTTCACACATTTTACCTATATTTTTTTTCAGAAGTTTAAGACATTCTGTTTTAATGACCAGTATTTTGATTCATTTTGTATCTTGTTTTCTGCATGGTGATAAATATGCATGGTGTACTTCTCTTGTGTATATCCAGTTCTCCCAATGCCATTTATGAAAGTGGCTGTCTTTCCATCTGCAAATGTTATTCACCTCTTTGTCAAAGAGCAGATGAATGTATGTGCTAAGGATTTCTGCGTCCTCTACTGTGTTCCACTGTTCCATGTGTCTGCTTTTGTGGCCAGTGCTATGCTATTTGTATCATTGTACCTTTGTAATATATCTTGGAGTCTAATATCATGATGCTTCCTGCTTTGCTTTTGTTGACTACGACTGAAATTTGTATTCTAGATCCCTTCTCATTCCATATAATTTTAGTATTGTTTTTCCTAGTCTTGTGAGGAACTCTGTTGGTATTTTGACTAACACTGCAAAAAATCTATATATCTGCTTTGGGAGCTATAGCACTTTTGAAAAAATTGATTTTGATTGTCCAGGAAAAAAGAAATAACTTTTTTTGATTTTTTTATATTGCCCTTTTTTCTTCTATCTCCTTTTTCATAGTTCCTTAGATTTAACTATGCTGACCTTTCACTTCCTTGCTATGTTAACTCCTAAACATTTAATTATTCTCGAAGCCATTACAAATGTTATTCTCCAAATTTCTTTTTAAGTGGGTTCATAATTGGGGTATGGATATTTGGGATTTCTGATGGCTGTGTTTAGTATAGTTTGCTCCAGAGGAAGCCAAGGGCCACCTAGTGAGAATACACAAGTAGCAAAAAAGGGGGTTCACATAGTAAGAAGCTGACGTTTTTTTCCAATAGTCAGCAAAAATAACTCCCAACCAATGAGTAGTTCATTTTGAAAGCCAGTGCTGAAGCCTTTGGATGACTGTAACCCTGCTAGAGAGCAAGGGTACAATTCAAAAATAAATTTTGATTCAAACATTCTCAACACATTTGAACCATACCCACACTTCTCAGTCACTAAAATAGTGTGAGAGAATAAAACTGTACTTTAACCTGCTGTGTTTGTAGTCAATATTTTTTGCAGAATAAGAATGAATGAATGATGTAAGGCAAATTAAAATATATCCATATAAATATGGATATCTTTGAACTCTATAAAACTACAACAATATTTTACAACATGAAAACATACACTGATGCTAAATGTAAAACAATACTGACATGGAGCTTCTCATTTGTTTGCATAAGTTCCACCAGGTAGTAAGGTTCCTGTCTCCCAATGATGTCTGTAATTTAAACCTTTCTCATAAAATCTTAACTATTTCTCATAGCAATGATTTGTACCTTATATTCCATGTGTGTGTAAAGTGAACATATTTCTTCATGACAGATTGAGATAAAACTTTAACATAATATTTCTGCATGGTTCATTCAAGTAAAATGGACACTCTGAAAACATGTTCAATGAAGCTACCTGGCTTCAGATTGCTTCCTATTACATCATGTGGTGTTGATAGGGATTTTTCTCACTGTAATTTGAGAAAATCAGTGAAGAAAATTCCTTCTAATTGCAACAAGACCAAAGTCTTAATCAACCTCAGGAGCTACCACTAGAATACTTACTTGTACTCAGCATAGACCTTAGATCCCAGGCATGTCCCCAGTCTAGTTTAGCATAATAACTGAAAGCAAATTTGCCTACTACAAAGCCACAAGATTTAACAAGGCATTCTTTGATCTTTGTAAAATTTATAGTTCCTGGAATCCTCCTGAAAGGCCCTTTTTCATATATGCGGTAAAATGATTTTAGCAAGTGTTTGAGGAATGTTTTTAAGCTGTGAAGGGGAAGTCTTCCAAAGAGATTATGAAAAATTTGCCTCCCTCTTTTTTCATGTCTTAGCCATGAGATTGAGCAACTTTATCTGTTTACTTGTTCCCTTTAGTGGTTTGCTGCCTCTCCAAAAACAAAACCAGGAATCCAGGAGTCATGGACTGGTATTTTCCAGTTGTAAGAAAAATGAGGACTCAACTCTCTCTAAGTTGATTGTTATCATTCTGTAAAGATGGTTGACAGTGAGATCTCCAGGAGAACTATTCTTCTTTCTCCATGTTTTTTTTTAACAAACTTCACTTTTAATACTAATTGATAAGCTTAGCTTTCATTACTTCCAAAATCAATTGTTAATACAGCATCCAAAATGAAAGCAGCATCACTTAGTGAAGTAATTACTCTAGAATCCAGCAAAATAACTGTTACAAAGCGAGGTCAGAAGTTTTCTGAGGACGATACACATAGGAAGTGATGTGAACCACCCAACGTCTTTATGGCCAAGGTAAGTCTCCTACTCTCCACCATTACTTGCAAAACTCATTAGGATTTATGCTCCAAAAGGGCCTTTGATTCTAAGTGTTTTACTTGCAAAAAGAAGTTGCAAACTAATAGTTTTAAGGTTAAACAGAAACCTCCCCACCTCAAGACTACCCTCATAACAGCTAGTAAAGTTCAATAGTCACTTTCTCACATTTGTTGAAGATCTTCCTTCAAGATTATCATTATCTCCAAAAACAAATGCAGACAGAGAATAAAAAGTTTGATTGTATGGATAGCTGATATCTATCACACAATTTTTGACTTTTAGAACAATTTTCAGAGTAAATGTAAATGACCATCTTTAACATTCTCTGATACTTCTATGCAATCAAAAAGTACCTTCCATACCGATGACCTTAACACATTGGCCACTATAAAGAAAGATGGGCAGACAACGGTTAGATTGCATAGAAATAACAAATAACTTTTTCTGTCACATTGATCGTGAGGTGAGAAACCAAAGTAAAATCCCCAGTCTAGTTCAGCATAATGACTAAAAGCAAATTAGCCTACTGCAAATCCACGAGATTTACCAAGGCCTTCTTTCATCATTTTAAAAGTTATAGTTCCTGGAATCCTCCTGAAAGGCCCTTCTTCATATATGTGGTAAAATGATTTTAGCAATATATATTGCTATATATTTAAATCTGCAATATATTTAAATCTGAACCATAAGAAATTTTGCAAATATGTATTGTTAGATGGAAAGGCAAATATTAAAACTTGTCCTCAAGGTAAATGTCTCACTCACTTCATTTTTAGTCTGGGTTCTGGAGCAGGAACTCCAAGAACATTTTACATTTGCTAAATGCTTGACACTCAAGCCAACACTCTCAAGAGAACACGGGTCCAATGAAAACTATAGCGCACAGGTGAAGATGCAGGGCTTCCAGCTACAACTCATCACTGAATTGCTCACCATCCAAATCCCAGGTTTTCTAAGCTGAAAGAACATCTCAGGCTATGGCTAGGGCTAGAGTCATCATGGAGATTTAATTGGAGGTTGATGTGGATGAGGTGATGGTACCTGTTTGGACAGCAAAGAGGTACAAGGTCATAAAAGGAGGAAGAACTCAGAACATTCAGAGATCAGAAAGAAGGCATAGGGAGTAAGAGGAGAGGAGGAGGGGAAGAAAGGTAAGAAAGACACATAGCAAGGGAGAAGCAGGGCAGGCGCTTTGTAACCACCTGGAAACTCATGAACACTGTAATTCTGACTGAGGGTGTAACTCAGTGCCAGAGTGCTTATCCAAGCTGTACAGAACCTGATTTCCATCCTGCAGAAAGCAAGAAAAGAAAATCCGATTGCTATGTCCATCCAGGCCTGTTCTTCTCACTCCCTGGATGTGGACCAGACTTTGGTATTTCTCACACTTTTCTCAAGATCTCAAACACAGCGGTAAAGGGCACAAGTCACAGACGGAGCCCTAGAATCATGATTGAGGTTCCAGGTAAAAGAGGAGAGCTCTGAAAAATTAAGGCAACAGAATAATTTAATATTTTTATTTTATAAATATTGTTCTGTACACTGAGTGAAAGAAAGTGTGCATTAAAATCTTATTTATAAATTTGCTTCCCATGTTAGTGGATCTGAGCAACAGAACCAAATAGTTTATGTTTTGTATTCTATATACTCTGTGCAGTGATTTTATGCAAGCTATTAATATTTCATTTCAAGTGAAGAATGCAAACTTTAAACTCACGCAAAATTCACTGGATGCTGCTTATGATTTTAATATTGTATTTGATATAAGCTCTTATCACACAGAACATGGTTATTCCTGCTGGGAGAAAATATTTTGGCCAGCACAGGCCTTGTACAGCTACAGGATGGTTAGGTTTCAGGTTGCAAGTGAAAACATCAGCATGTGGCGGGCACTGACAGGACTCCACTCAGTTCAGAAACAGCATCCAGGTGTTCAAGGGCACATAAGCCTAATGTGAGTCCAGGACCCTGATGGCATCACCACGGCTAACTCCAATGCTGTCTCCCTCTGCAGGCAGTGTGGATAGTTCACCTGAGCCCAGGCCACACACAAGCCTCTCCCTTTGACTGTCCATACACAGTCACCATATAAGATATTGGCAGATGGGTGATGGAGATGTAGCTCTGGGGTAGAGCACTCACCTAGCATGGAAAAGGCCCAAGATTGAATGTCTAGTACTCTAAAAATAAAAATGAAGCCTGTCAATTCTGTTTTGGATCTCTAGAAACTTACTTTTTAAGGCATCACACAACTCAGAACTTAACAGCTTCTGTTTAGTGCTTCAAAAAATTATCCTCAAATTGTATTCTAAGAAAATCTTTAGTCATAGTTACAAGTTGAATGTTGTCCTTTATGATTGCAATTCATATATTATAAAATACATGATTGGCTCATCATTGGCTTCCAAGAAGCTGAGAACTATATTTTATGTTCAACTTTAAATTTCTTTTCTGTTTCAGTAAAGATTACAAGGCAAATTTTGCAAGCCATACAAATCACCTTTCAGGATGCCTGCTTTTATAATACTTGGCAAAGGCATAACTATGTGTTCAAACCATATTCTCAAGCTATAAGTCAAAGGCAGCACTCAGGAAGGCTCTTAGAGCCCCTGTGTTGTCAATCTCCACTCATCTCACACTCACCTGAATCACACTGCTGCCTGCTCCTTATGTAAATGCTCTGCTGCTTCAGATGCTCACAGTGCATATTTCCTCCAGTATGGAACAGCAGAAGCTTCTGAAGTCTCAAACCACCATTATATGCAAAGTATGAGACTCTTGTTTCCTACTATGTCCAAGTGTAGAAGCTGAGTTCCTATGTAAAACAACTATATAACAGCAGTTGCATTTTTACATTTTTCCCATAGAGATTGTAACTTTCTCCACCCTAAACACTGAAATTGGTTGATTCGTATGAGATGAGGAGACGGGAGAGAAAGAACAACTAAACACACGATATACTGACTGTTAATGTGAAGTCAGATGAGGAACATTCAGAGCAAGACGTGGTGCTGGAAGTAGTGTCAGAGAGATAAAATTGTGATGCCTCAAAATCTAGAGGAAAAGGACTTTTTGCCATGGAAAGCCAAAGACGTCAAGCAGCAAGAAAGACAAGGAAAATATTCTGTCCTACAGGCTCCAAATGGGAACTTCTTTTTTTTGTTGTTAATGAATTTTATTGGTAACTTTTGACATACATAGTAGTCACATTCATCATAGGGAATTTGTACCACTACATAATATATCATACTTCATCTTGCTTACCCATTCCCTTCCTTTCAATCTTTTTCCCCCTCTCCATTTACTGAACTTTATTTCTATTTCTTTCCTTCCATTCTTTAAAAAAAAAAAAAAAAACTTTTTAATGCCTATATCCTTCTTTTCCAACTCCATGCCTTCTCCTTTCTTCACCTTTCACACTTGAATATTTTCTTCCTACTTTCCAAAATCTATTCTCTGGTTTGGTCATTAATTTGTTTGTGGCTTCTCATCCCAGAGAAATACTGCAACATTTAAATGTGTATGTCCAATATATTTCACTTATTACAATGTTCTTAGGTTGCAAACGTTTACCCAAATATATCTCAAGTTTATCCCTCTTTATGGCAGACTAGTTCTAAATTGTGAAGGAAAAACAAACTGCATTTTCTTTATGCATTCATCTTGTAAGAGCATATGGACTGTTCCCAAAATTTGGATGTCACAAAATGTGCCACTTATGTGGGTGTGCACATATTGCTGTGACCCATTTCAGAAATGAGCCTCTAAAATAAGTATATTTCTAGGAAAATAAATACAAATAACAAATGAGTACATGAGAAAATGTTCAACATCACTGGTCATTCAGGAAATGCAAATCAAAACAGCACTGAGATTCCATCACACTTCAGAAAAAAATATAATTATCAAGAAATCAACCAATAACAAATGCTGGTGAAGTTGTAGGGAATAAGACCCCTTCTCTGCTATTTGAAGCAGTGTATGTTTGTATAACCACTATGAAAATCTGTGTGCATATTCCTGAAAATATGGAACTAGATGCTCCATTGACCCAAGTATTTCCTTTCTATGTATCTTACCCAAAGAGTTAAAATGATTTTTTTATTCTAAAGCCACTGAGCTTATATTACTACATGAGAAATAGAAAATTAACACAGAGATCTTTACTACATTTTCCCATATTTCTATGGAATTCCCATAACAAAAGTGTAAAGTGCCACTTAGAAGCCTTATTTTCTGCTAAGCTCTGCACAATAACTCATGGTTAGATCAGGCCACTGTCCCTCAGGCATCATAAGGAAGTGTTGAAGCCTCGGGTCATGGGGGGAGCAAGCAGCTGGGGAGACCATAAGAGGAAGTTTATGTTCGAAGCTGAATCACTGTGGGAAGAGTATCATAATTCTGCTGACAGTAATAACTCCCAGCATCTTCAGCCTGCACTTTGCTGATGGTGAGAGTGAAATCCGTGCCAGACCCACTGCCACTGAACCGATCTTGGACCCCAGATGCCCGAGTGGATGCATAGTAGATGAGCAGTTTGGGAGATTGTCCTGGTTTCTGCTGGTACCAGGATAAATAGTTCACCTTGTAAGCACTGGAGAAAAGACTCTGGCTGGATTTGCAGTGGATGGTGGCACTCTCTCCAACAGACAGCAAGAGGGAGCCTGGAGACTGGATCACCACATTGTCACCAGAGACACCTGCAATCAGAAATGAATAGTCATTCTACACACACATTCAAACATACAAAACTTTCCTCATATAAATCTTGCAATTAAGCATTTAAATATTCTTTTAAAAGCTGTTCTGAGTTATCACATATTTGTGCTCTTATTAGAAATAGTCATTCTTTCCCACTTCTTTAACTTGTTTTTCAACTCTACAAATACATCACCCTCAGGAGATGATGGTTGCAGTTTCTCACCAGAGACCAAGAGCAGCAGGGCTAGGAGAATTCCAGTCTGGGGCACCATCTTGCTGTCCTGTCTGGTGTGACAGAACGTGTGATAGATGTCAATACAAAGGTGTATTTTATAGAATCTGTGCACCTGGACAGGGCTGGGAGTGACTATGTAAAAGACCCAACAAATAAGGAAGCAAACTGCAAGTGTACTGTGCTTTGAAAGCAACTGATTAAACCAAGAGCCAAAAATACCATCTCAGAACATGTGTTTGCATGACCAGGAAAAAAAAAAGTCAATTTAAAAGATCTGATATTGCACATCCACTAGATAGAATCACAATACACCTTTGTTTCAAGTCAAAAATATGCATTTAAAACTTTTAATTTTACAGAAACCACAGACTAGCAACTTGTATTAACATCTCTGGTGGAATACTAAAGCATGGTGGGAAAAACAGGGCAAAAAAGACAGGAGGAAGAAAAAGGAATGAATGGAGAATGAGTTAAGGGGTGAAGAAAAGAAAGGGAAACACAAAAAGATTCCACTTTCTGGGGCCAGCTATTTAATATCTTTAAATAAATAAATCTGAAATCCAAAACCACCTTCATTCTAAAGCTAATGAAGAGCACAGGAAACATTTGAGATTCACTTTCCACCCCCATGAGTGAGTGGAGAGCTTCAGGACAGACAGAGAATTCATTCTTTGATTTCTGTAGGTTGATTTAACCTGAGGATCAGAACTGTGAACCAAAGGGAAACTGCAACCTGTCCTTCCCACAACTAGGAAATAAAAATTAGGCTCTAAGTAAGCTGATAAATGGAGAGAGAACAAAACAAGATCTCTTAAAAAATTAATGACAGAAGATCAAAGCTCCCAAAGATATTTTCACCCCAAATACCTACTATAGGATTTGTCCACACTCACAAAAGTTAAACATAGCTTTATCGTTGAGGTACTCAAGTAAAAACCTTCCTCGTGAAGGGCAAGACCATCCTAAATTCTCAGGAAATCTTACCACTTAATTATCAAGGGCCAGTAGGCACAGATTCAGAAGTTTCTGATATCCAAAAACCAAAGTTTAATTTAAGTGTGCATGAAAATAATATAAATTTCAGAGAACAAAAATTCTGACATTTTAGATTCAGAAATTGTGAAAACATATCTCACAAACAATTTATCAAATAGATATTGCATGTGAAATACAAGAAACTAAGAAAGTTAAGATTGGGTAAGTGCCTATAACTGGCACCTCAGGGAACACTATGTCCAACACAAATTGTGAAACTGATCTCAAAACTTGTCCTTTAATCCAGAACTAATATTGACAACCAAAATTCATTTTAAAATTTCCACTTAATCCATTTAGCTTGAACTCTTATTGTTTGGATAGATCATTTTCTGCAATAGTTTTTCAGATATATAAAATATTAAACATATCATCCAATTCAAGTTTCATTTAGAACTACCTAGATGCTCTAACACAAATGAGAAAAATAGCATATGGTTTAAGGAATATCCTCAGATCCATAGTCAAGAATATGAAAGATGAGTTAACCTGCCGTAAGAAAGACTTATTGTTTTCTCTACACCTTTGTTTAGATCTATAATTTGACTTTGTTATTTTGTTAAGCAGAACAAATTTCTTTCATTTACTATTCCTTATTCAATTTAAACAGAGAGTGAAGTTACAAACAGCTAGAAAAATCATATAAACATAATTACATCTTAAGTACAGACTCAGAAAAATAATAAAAATAAAAATAAAAACCAGCCAGTCAGTGGCTCATCTCGAAAGGCACCAGTGAAGTCACTGAATGACTGTAACACAGTGTGACCACAAACCAAGGAAAATCTTGAGCCAGCTCCAGCCATTCTGAATCAGCTTGAACCATTTCCACATTCTTCACTCACAAAATTCATATTTGAGGATCAAATTGTGCTTTAAATTGGTGCTTTTGAATTCAATATTTTTACACAGAAGTACGAAAGGAATAAATTAATAAGTAATGCAAAGTAAAATATGAGCCTACGCATGGATGTCTAAGAGCCATATAAAACTACAACAATATCACAAAGTGAAAATATACTTTGATATGAAATACATGACAATAAAACCATGTAATTCGGGAAGAAAGCTTCAAGACCTTGAAGTTCCAGAAAGTCATAAAAATACTAATACATAAGTCCTTTTGCTGGGAATAAAGAGAAAGATTTTACTTTGTTTCTTTAGATTTTCAATTTGTTAGAAGGAGTTTTTTGAAATAATACTATTGCTGAGCTAAAACTAAAACACAATACATTGCAATTTCTGGTTCCTTAGTTCTCTGCAGCACTTGTAGGGACCATGACCTCCCAGGTGGGGCACACAAAACCTGGTGGAATGTATATCACTTTGGGTCCTCGAGTAACTGTATACAGCACAGCACATGCCTGGCTCTGGTGATGAGTACATTTCTGGAGAACAGACTGCAAAGACGTTCTATATCTGGGCCATGAGTTTTGAGCCAACCATTTACTACAACACTTCCTATAAAATATAAATGCATGAAAGAAGTTGAAATGAGAGTAATAAGAAATGACTGTTTTATTTTCTTACCACTTAAACATAAAATTGCATAAATATGTACTTGAAAGAAAACATTTGCAAAGGTGACCTTTAGGGTCAAAACTGTTTGTAGGCTCACACCATCATCTTGCAGGCATTATGCAGGAAAACAGAGCAAAGAATTACATCACTGGGAAATCGAACACTCAATGTTTGTATCCATGTGGTCATACGGTTTTTGGTGATCACACTACCAATCTAAAGTTTCAAGGAAGACCTCTCATCTAACTTTCCCATCTTAGTGCCGTGTACACTGAATGTCAACATGTACCTCATCTACCACATCCACCACATCCTTGAGTTGGGAAAATAGAATCAAGCACACAAATACCTTCATCAGCAGACCTAAGGTTACATCAAATATATCAACTGTAATTTTGTGTCTTTCAACCTTCCCTCAACAGTTAGCCCATTTAAAGTCTAGATACAACAGGTTTTAAAAAATCCTAAATAAATGTACAAATATTTAATCAGACACTAATATGGGTCCTCTCATTTGTTCACATAAGTTGCACAAAAAAGTAACTTTTCTCTCTTCCAATGTTGTCTATGAAGTTTAAACCTTATCCTATAAACCTTATCTATTTTTCATAGCAATGACTTCTAGCACATATTCTGTGTGTATGTGAATTTTAGCATATTTCTTCACGACACATTGATGCAACACTTTAACATAATATTTTTGCACAGTTCACTGAAATAAAATGGTCACTCTGAGAAGCTGTTCAGTGAAGCTACCTGGCTTCACATTGTTTCCTATTATATCATGTGGTAGTGATAGGGGTTTTTCTCATCCTAATTTGAGAAAAGCAATAAAGAAAATGCCTACTGATGGCAGCAAGACCAAAGTCTTAGGCAAACTCTGGAGCCACCACTAAAATGCTTAGTGATACCCAGCACAGACCTTGGATTTTCCAAGCCCTTCTGATGTCTTTGTAAAAGTTATACTATTTGGAATTCTCTCCCAAAGACCTGTCTTCATACATGTGGTAAAAAACAAACAAACAAAAAAAAACTTACCAGATGTTTACATAGGAGGTTTGAAGTTTTGAATGGGAGAGTCCCCAAAAGTGACTAGGAGACCTTGAGCTTCCTTTTTTTCATACTTTAACTATGAGATGAGCAAGTCTTGTTCGTTCACTCACTCCCTTCCTTGATATACTGTCTCTCCAAAGACAAAACCAGGAATCCAAAAGTTATGCACTAAAACCACCACAATTGTAAGGAAAAAAAAAAACAAAAACAAACTTTGTACTTCTAGTTTGATTGTCTCAAATGTTTTGTCACTGTTCTGGAAAGCTGATTCACAGAGGTATCTCCAATAGAACTGTTCTTCTTTCTCCATACATTTTAAACCAGTTTCTTTTTTGCTTCTAACACTTAAAGTTAACTTCTGTTGCTTCCAAAGCAATGCCAACACAACATCCTATATGAAGGCAGCATTATTTGATGATAGGATTACTCTACAATCCACTAAATTAACTGCCATGATGAGGAGACATAAGTTTTCTCAGGATGCTTCATATACTGAAGTGTATATAGTTGCTGTCAGCTACTCCAGGTATTTATGACCAAGGTGAGCCTCTTACTATCCACCATTACTCACAATCTTATTAGGATTTATGGTTTAAAAGGACCTTTATTTCTAAGTATTCTATGTGCAACAAGGGGTTACATATTAACAGTTTTAGAACTAAACAGTGTGCTCCCCGACTCTAGCCAGTTCTCATGACAGCTAGTAAATTTCAGTAGTCAAATTTATCCCTTTTCTTGAAGAGCGTGCTCTAAGACTACCATTATAGCCAAAGAGTAATACAGAGAGAGAATGAATATTATGATTATAAGGATACTTGTTCTCTGTTATATGATTGTTGACTTTTTAAACAATTATCAAAGTAAATACAACTTCACTTTTGCACTCACTGATACTTCTGAGCAATCACAACATGGTTCTCATTTCAACGATCTTAACCAATTAGCTGCTGTAGTGAAAGATGAGAAGACTATGGTTACACTGTAAAGGAAGGACAAATTAGCTTTTCTGTCTTATTGGACGTGAGGTAAGACAGAAAAGCAAAATTGAGGCCACCTGCTATATGCAGATCTGAGCCAATAGAAAATTTGCAAAGGTGTCTTCTTAGACGGGAAGGAAGACAATAGCAAGTTCATGGCAGTAAAAATCAGGACCAGAGTTGAATATATCAGAATGGTGGCATGTTGTCAGGCATATCATCGGCAGTGACTCTAAAATATGTGTGATTCTGGAGTTCAGGGGAGCAGCCTAAGCAAGAGACACACATTTAGGGATATGGAGTAAGATCAAGAGGCAATGATTCCAGTCCGCTGAAGCTGGCTTGCAATCTGGCACCTGACCCCAATACATGAGTGAGAAAATGAGGTCAAACCACCCCCTGAGACTGAGAGGGACTGACCACCCAGGTGAGAATTGAACTAATAAATGCCATCCTACTGCCAAGCCAACAGTTTTAGACTATCACTTCAGTTTCAATTATAAAATTAACATACTAAGTGAAAGAAAGCTTTCTGTGAGGACTGGTTGATACGGAATCGTCCTAACGCTGTTTCCTTTGTAGAATCACAGCTTTCCCTACATAAGAAGAGTAGAAAGGTTAATTTTGTAAAGTGGATACTTACTGGATTCTGCAGGCCAGATTTCTACAATAGAGGTTCCAAAGAAGATGGGATGTACACCTTCAGAATATCTCTAAATATTTTCCCTGTCACACTGTGATCTCTCATTATCTTCCTTTATTATCTCAGTGTATTAAAATCCCAATGAAACTACCACTCCATCTCTCTAATTTTTTTCATGCTTCATGTGGAAAACAGAATCCCATAGAATATTTTTGTGCAAGGTTATTAACTTAGTTTATCAAACTTTCCATTCATTTGAACACACTAACATACCTACACCATCACCAAACAGGTACAGCTTGCAGGCCATGTCACCCAGTACAGCAACAGTGATCTCTCATAGGCTCTTGTTCTTTTATTTTATTTCTTACAGGAAATACATTTATTTACCTTTTCATTGAGTGTCTGTCAACTCATTAATTTCATTGTCCTTATCTTGTAAAAGAGTGCACTTAGTACCCTGTTCCCATAGAGACTCAAAATTTCCCCTCCCAAGGCACTGAAATTGGTTGACTCATGAGAGATGAGGGAACTGGAGGGCAGGCTCAACTAAGCACACAATTATACTAATTAGTGTGAAGTTAGAGAAGGGAAATGCAAAGGAAAATATGATGCTGGAACCAATGTTAGAGAGCTACATCTCTGCTGGCTCTGAATTTGGAGGAGAAAGGCTTCTGGCCAAGAAAAGCAGAAGACTTCAAGCCCCAAGAAAGTCAAGGGAATAATTTTTTTTTTTTCCGGGAGGCTCCAAACAGGAATTTTTTCTTTAAAGGAATTTTATAAGTAACATTTGACATACGTAATAATTACATTCAACCTAGAAAATTTGTACCTGTACATAATATATTGTACTTCATCTTTTTTACCCATTCCCTTCCTTTCAATCATTCTTTCCTTCTCCATTTACAGAATTTTATTCCTATTGCCTTCCTTCCATTATTTTTTTAAAAATTTTTAATCACATGCCCTTCTTTTCCAACCCCATGTCCCTCCTGTGTTCACCTTGCCATTTGAACACTTTCTTTCTACTTATGCTGCTGGTCTAAATCTGTCTTCTGGTTTGCTTCTTAATTTGACTGTGACTTTCTCACCCCAGAGAAATACTGCAATCTTAAAATGTGTATGTCTCACATATTTCACTTATTGTGTTCTCAGGCTGCACACATTTACCCAAATATGTCTCAAGTCTATGGTTCTATATGGCAGCATATTACTCCATTGTGTAGAAACACCACATTTTCTATATGCATTCTTCTTCTAATAAACATGTAGACTATTCCCAACACTTAGTTGTCACAAACTGTGCCATTTACAAAGGTGTGCATATATTGCTGTGACCCAATCCAAAAATAAGCCTCTGAAATGAGCACATTTCTAGGAGAAGAAATACAAACAACAAATAAGTACATGGGACAATGTTTAACATCAATGATCATTCAGGAAATGTAAATCAAATCAATACTAAAATTTCATCACATTCCAGAAAAAATCTCCATTATGTAGAAATGAATCAATAACAAATGCTGGTGAGGCTATAGAGAACAAGACGCCTTCTCTGCTGTTTATAGTAGTGCATATTAGTATAAACACTATGAAAATCAGCATGCAGATTCCTCAAATATAGAACTAGACTGTCTTTGACCCTAATATTTCCTTCCCACATATTTACCCTAAAGAGTTAAAATGATGGCTTTTATATTCTAATGCCATTGAATTATTAATACACAAGAAATAGAAATTTTTACTACATTTCCCATATGGCCTTCCAAGTACAAAAGAGTAAAGAGACACTGAGATGCTTTATGTTCAATAAACTTCTGCAAAATAACTCAAGCGTGCACCAGTGAAGTCTCTCGGGGAGCAGGAGGAAGTGCTGAAGCCCTGGGGTAAGTGGGGAATAGGCAGCTGGCGAGATCCTGAGAGGAAGTTTATGTTCGAGGCTGAATCACAGTGGGAGGAGCACTAATACCCTGCTGGCAGTAATAATATGCCACATCTTCAGCCTGCACATTGCTGATGGTGAGAGTGAAATCCATGCCAGAACCACTGCCACTGAACCGGTCTGGGATTCCAGATACCCGGGAGGATGCCCAGTAGATGAGCAGTTTGGGAGATTGTCCTGGTTTCTGCTGGTACCAGGATAAGAGATTCTCACTGATATAACTATGTAGAAGACTCTGGCTGGACTTGCAGTGAATGGTGATGCTCTCTCCAGCAGACACTGCCAGAAAGCCTGGAGACTGGGTCATCACAATGTCACCACACACACCTGCAATCAGGAATGAATAATGATTCTACACACACATACATACAAATTTTTCTCATATAAATGTTACAATTAAGCATTTAAAATATTCTTTTGAATGCTTTTCTCAGCACATATTTATATTTTATTAGAAACAGTCATTCTTGTCTACTTCTTAAACTAATTTTTTAACTCAACAAAGTATTACTGTGGAAATAGTAGAACTTTGGAATTTCTCACCAGCGACCCAGAGCAACAGAGCCAGAGCCAACAGGGTTGGATTCTGGGGCACTACCATCTTGCTGTCCTGTCTGGTGCAATGCAGTTCAGATTTCATTGCAAAGGTTTCTTTTATAGAATCTGTGCTCCTGGACTGGGCTGGGAGAGACCTATGCAAAGGAACCAGCAAATAAGGAAGCAAATTACAGTGGTACTGGGCTGTGAAAGTAACTGGTTTAACCAACAGATAAAACTCCCATTGCAGAACTTGTGTTTTCATGACCAGATATATAGAAGATTTTAATATTGTAAAATTACTAGGTGGCATCACAAAACGCCTTAGTTTCAAGTTTTAAAATGTATTTAAATGGTTTTAATTTTACAGAAAATATAGGCTAGTTATCTTTTATTAACAACCCTGGTAAACTACTAAATAGTGCTAGATAAACAAGGACAAGTAAGACAGGAAAGAGAAGTAGAAATGAGTAGAGAATGAGTTAAGGGAAGTAATGGAAGAACGAAAGAAAGGCAAACACAAAAAGATGCTACCTTCTAGGGCAAATATTTTATTCAATTTGGAAAATACTCTGTGAAATAAAAAAACATCTTTAACCTGAAGCTACTGAAGAACGCAAGAAATACCTGAGATGCAGTTTCCAACTCCTATATATGCGTGGACAGCTATAAAACAGGTCAAGAATTCATTCTCTGAATCCTTTGGGACCTGATTAAACCTGAGGATCAGAATTGTGAACCAAAGGGAAACCGCAGCCTGTCCTTTCCACACCTAGGAATTAATATCAGGCTCTAAGTAAGCTGAGAAATAGAGAGAGAGCAAAACAAGGTCTCTTTGGTAATTAAAGATAGCAGACCAAGATTGCCAAGGAGGTTTTCTCCCAAAATTCCTGGTTTAGGACTTGGCCACTTTGAAATCAGGGTAAGGTAGCCTTACAGACGAGATGCCAAAGTGAAAACCTGTCTCATGAAGGGTAAGACCATACTAAATTCTCAGGAATTTATTTTTCAAGGGCCAGTAGACCACATTGTCAGAAATTTCTAAAATCTAAAAACGAAAGTGCAATCTAAAAAGGAATGAAAAACAATAGAAATTACAGAGAACAAAAGTTTTGCCCAGACTTTACATTCAGGAATCATGAAAATGTATTTCATGAGCAATTTATCAAGAGATATTGCTTGTGAAACATAAGAAACTCAGAAAGTTAAGAAAAGATTGCACAAGTGTCTATAATTGGCATGTCAATAAATATTATGTCCAAAAATTTTTAAACTGATACAAAAATTTTATCATTATTCCAGAACAATTATTGACAATCAAAATGCACTGTAATTTTTCCATTTAATCAGCTTGAACCAACCATTTATTGTTTTCAATGGATCATTTTCTGCAATACTTTTTCCACATATATAAAATATTAATCTCATCTTCCAAGCCAAGTTTTATTTAGAACTACTCAGATCCTATAATATGAATGAGAAAAATAGCAGATGATTTAAGGAAAGTCCTCAGATCCACAGTCAAGAATAGGAAAAATGAGTACATGTGTAAAAATCCAGTCTACCAAGCTTTGTTTAGATTTACAATTGATATTGTTATTGTGTTAATGAGTGCAAATTTCTTTCCCTTCATTTACTAGTACTTACTCAATTTAAACAAATAGAGAATAGTTCTCAAGTAACTAGGAAAATCATATAAACTTGACTGTTTCTCAAATACAGACTCAGAAAAATAAAAATCCACCTTTTATTTTATTTTTATTTATGTTTAAAGGCAACATGACAATATTTTTACCTTTGCTATTACAAATTTAATTACCACAGTGTACCCTGGGTATGTGGATAAACAGCACCATCATAGGAAACTGCAACACAGTCCTCGAATGAAAGCAGCACAGATTGATCCTCCCTCCACACTGTGGACCAAAGTCCTAATGAAAGTCCCTGAGTAGCTCTGAGCCAGCACCTTGTCCATAGTTACCACCTTGTGTGGAAGCACCGGAAAATGTCAGTCTTACAAGCATATTCTCCTGAGGTATTAAACGCTAGGCTCTAGTGATGTATGGGGTCTCGTTATGCTCTGTGGATTCATGACTATTGATGCCCAAAATCCATGATAAGACTGAGTTGTTAGAGAAAGAATTTTACTATGTTTTACAGAAAACTAACATGAAAGCACAAATGTTCCTCATTCTTTTATGCAATGACCTCCAGGGAAGTCTTCCCTTCGTGTTTTGATGAATCTGACACACAGAGAGAAAGAGATGAGAATGACAAGATACTCACCAGATAATACAAACTAACTGCTACAGATTTCATGTTCTCTTACCTATGAAGTAGTTCTCTAAGGATGAAAGACAGAAATTTTGACCCTGCCATGATCTTTTCACGTGAGTTTCCATTTGGTGTTTAATTGCAAGATCCAGGAAACACCTACACTTATCAGTGTTCTAACACTCTGCAGCTCTTGGTAACAGCAGGCACCAGAAGTTGCTTGCTAGTTCCACATCGTAATCTTTTTTTTTTTTTTTTAATTTTCTTTAAGGAGAAAAAGAAAAAAAAAAACAGACAAAGGGTACAAGTTACACAGAATTTCAGAAAGAATAAACAGTAGGAAATCACTAGTTAATAGATTACATATTGTTATCTTAGAAATAGTTGTTCAAATTACAAAATTAAAGCATATACAGTGAACTTTCAAACAGTGAGACTGCAGTTTTGTTCAATGATCCAACAAAACTCAGTAATATGGGTATCTATCTTGTACACTTAATATATATATATATATATATATATATATATATATATATACAGTTATATCCTTTAGAGCACTTTCTTTTCCTTTCTTTTATACAATAACAATTACACATTTTGGGTTTTATCACTCCCACAGTTCTTATTACTTTTTTTTGAAGAGAGTAAAATCAAACGTGACATAACAGAACCAAGTCAGTCAAATCAAAAGGATGGACATAATAGAAAATGTAAAAACAAAATACAAGGTGACCAACAATGGTTATCATACTGCCTCTTGCTATCTTAAAAAGAATTGCCTATATCATCAGTTATAATAAAATTGAGCAAAACAGTAAAGAATAAAACCAAAACATTGGAGACATTACAGGACTTTAAAAGAAGATAATAGTCATCCAGAATGGGCGTCATAGTAAGTCTTATTGTCTTCACAGTAGTTGCCTATACTTTTGAACTTGGTACTATCAAGCAAAGTAGAATAGAGGAAAATCAGTCAAAACAAGGTGGTGAGGGCAATGTAGGGTTTCAAATCAAGTTAATAGGAAATCAAAGTGGGTTACTATAATGTATCCTGCTATTTTTAACTTATTTTTCCCTTAATTAAAAAGATAAAAATAAAAAGTAAATAATTAAAAAAGCAGATTTAAATAAGAGGGCATAACAACAAAACAGCACAGGTCAAAGCATAACCATTTAAGCAAAATAGTGTTTCACCAACCGTAATCTTAATGGTACAAGACTCAGAAGATCAATACTTATGACATAGGACCTCTTTCAATCCCTTCCTATGCACAGCAGAGATCAAGCAGAGTAGCTTTCATGTTGCCACAGACTGACCTGCATACATACCACATGATTCGAATGCTGGAGATTAGGACAGAGTGTTTTGTGTCTGCCCTACGGATCCCACTTTTACATGTGGACCGTGTGAGCACTGCTGCAGAGCTTTGCAGTTAAAATCTTCCTCAAAATAGGGATAATGTTGTACATCACTTGATTCACATAAGAGGCTTCCCATTGTGCTCATGCTTTTTTCCACACACTTGCCCTCATCAGGGCATTTGTATAATGACCCCCAGGGAGGGTCTTCACTTGCAAGGCTGAGATAAAAGTGAGCACTAAGTTTGCTTGACTGATCGGAAATCTTTAATAGCTTCTCAAATTGAGGCTCTCTGATGAGCTTCTGGTCTGCTAACACTCTGGTAAGAGCAGAGACTGATTTAAGAACTACTCTTCACTGTGGTAAGAACCGAGACTTAAATGGGGTGAGAGGGTGAACTGTGGGGATCCACCACTGTCCATGTCTGCTCTTTTCTTGTGTGACTGGTGCAGTTCTTGGCTTCCAGGATGGGTGTGTGACATTTAGATCTGTAAGAGTGAGGGAGATGCCAGAAAGAGCAAGGACCAGAGATTTGCTGAAGACTCACATCCTAATCAGGAGCTGACAACTACAAAAGATGCTAGAGGCCCCTTTGTGACTGCAAAGTGGTTCCAATTTCAACATTGGTGTTTTTAGTTTATATATCAAAGTCCAAGTAATAATTCAAATTTAACTACCTAAAGATGTGAAAATTATGAAAATCAACTAACCTTTCTCTTTCAATATTTTGGGAGACACTGAAAATATGTAATGAGCCAGAATATACTCTCCCATTCCATCCATAGTGGAGACCTCTTGAAAGTCAAGGCACAGCCTGCTATTTAGAGATGGAATCATCTATTTGTGCCTTATGCACAAGCCAGGCCACCCTAAACAGTACAGGATTTATAAGATCTTTTAATTGTTGGGACTCAGGTTCACTGGCAGTGAGTCAGAAACAAATTTCACACAAGGAATCAACTGGGTGAAAGCTGAAGATGTTGGAGTTTATTTCTGTGTACAATGTCCATAAGTTCTTCCTGTAGAGTTAGAGTCCTAACACAACATCCCTTCTTAGGGTGGACCACTTCTATCATCTGTTACTTGTCTAAGCAGCAGCACTGACGATAGCTGTTTGAGGCAGTATAGGAGAAGGAAGATGGTGCACTGAGAGTGAAATGTTGTAAGTAGGGTCTGTATCTCCTGGGTGTCTCAGGTACCTAACAAGTACAGTGCATTAAAGTCCTTGTTTCTTGTGGTGGCCTTGGCATGAAAATCACAACAGAAAAGAGACTCGGTTTCCACACAATCAGTAGATAAGACTGAGTGAGAAATAGTCCACAAGTAAAAAGGTTTTATGCTCTGTTGATGAAAGAATACAAAGACAAGGATAGTGAGGTTGACTTCCTTGCTAATTCTTGGATTTTATTAAAGTCAGAACATAAATCAAAGCACAAACGTGCAAAAATGACTTTCCATGAAATAACCACAATGATTCCAATAAAATAAAATTGTATAAAAAGTCTATAAT